CAACTTTAAGACTTGTGGACTTCAACTCCCAGAATTCCTCAGCCAGCAAAGCTGGCTGAGGAATTCTGGGAGTTGAAGTCCACAAGTCTTAAAGTTGCCAAGGTTGGACACCCCTGCCGTAGATCAAGAAACGATCCTCAAAAACCACAAGACAAATGAAACGTTGGGCGGCATCAACAGAAGTAGAGTAGATCCCTTTTCCTGCATGGTCCCCTCTACTGTGTCCACCATGCTTTATGAAGGTCCCAGTGTTGTTGTTGTTGTTGTTTTTTGCATGCCGCCGACAAGAGACAGGGGCTACTGCATCCAGCCAGAAGACAAAGGCAAGAGGCAGACGCGGGGCCATTCACTCAAAGGAGGAAGAGGCCACCAGAGCATCAAGAGAAAAGCCCTAAAGAAGAATTGCAGCCCTTCAGCAACGGGGCTTCTCAACAAGGTTTGTCTTTACAGGATGCTTGAGTTGGACCGTTTGTTCCAAAGTCTTTAACACGGGACCTCATTAACTATCAGGACATGACGATTTCATCGGCAGATAAAGGCTGCTCAACGGCGGCGATGAACAGCACAGATCACGGAATGAAGGCATTCGCTCGGCTTAACGATTCCTCAGCGTATCCTTTAGACCAGCAAAGACATCAGAGATGATGATCGCACAAGACAACTTCAACAACACAACTGCAGAACGGGAAAGGAGCAATGGAAAGTGAGAGGGACAGATGCCGCCCCAGCAAGATTTTACGGACTCCCAAGATACACAAAATAGGAGTCCCCAATGGTAAAATTGCCCTACCTATAACCTGGCTCAGGATGGGATAATGCTTATACTTTCTGACCCCACAGTGACTTAATCACTGGCCATCAACATCCCAATCAACAACCCAAAAGCCACACAAAACTAGGCACCACATAAATACTAAGCTTAGAAGAGCCCAAAGTGTGCATTCTGGTGAGGGAGAACTTCCCTGGGCTCCAGCATGAGTCCCAAAGACTAAATGCCTGGGCCCAGTGACCGACCCAGACTGGATCCTGCAACATTATCCTGGACACCTATACTTGTCTCGTTAATTTAATTAAATTAGCTCCTCCTATCTATATAATTCTGAGACAATAAAGAGTTTGGATTTTATAAATGCTAATGCTTAATTATTAGCAAACACCAGTGGAAACGTGGTGGCAATTTTTAAAACGTTGAACTCAGAAGGATTCAAGAGAAAACCAACCACAAGAACGTTTTGAGGAAGGTCTGGATATATTTTTTTTCTGCTGCTGGACTGAGACTACCAGCAATCTGGCCTACAACGGAAGCTCTGGAGGGAAGAACTGGAACCCTGGAGGAAATCGTTTAATAGGGCTGGCCGTGACGATCTTTCAGATAAATAAATGGAAAGAAAAGCCAAAGATGCTTTAGGAGAAGGACTCTACGACTAATCTATAGTTCTGCAAAAGAGACTTCAATCTGGCATTTGCATGGCAGCTGTTGCAGGAGGGGCTTTAAGGGGGCATCATAAATGGGGCATCTTCCAAAGAGGCTCCAATGATTGGGAGGAGCAGGGACGGTCTGACATTAGGGACATAACTCTGAGCAGCAAAGGCAGCCTATTTGTGCAAAGTATGCAAAAACAGAAAACTGGCCAGGGTTAGAGAGGACTCGGGGATTGTCAAGGAAGACACAACAATTGTTGCTGATGCTGGCCTTGCTCTTTTCGGCAAAGCCTTCTTGAACCCGTCGTCTAGATCTTCACACTTTCGTGCCCTCGTGGGCCAGCCCTATTATGCCTTGATGGACACGTGCGATTTGCAGGCCACGAACCTGGAGGGTTTGCAGTTAAAAAGTGAGAGAATGGCAAAAGAGCCGTACGTGCCCCTGCTGGTCCAAGGTGTTGTTGGTCAGCTTGATCTTCTGGAAGGAAAGCGGCTCCTTCATCCAGTGGCTGCCCAGGGCAGGAGAGTCCGGGTGGATGTACGTCCGGCATGGGGGCTGTGGCTTGGCTTTCCCTGCAATCTCCCACTGGTCCTTGTTCCACTGGGGAGTGGGAGAAGGAACAAAACGTCGTCACGTGGCCTGCCTCCCCGTGGCCTGTCCCTCCCCCGCCCCCCAGGAGTCGCCTCCTTCTTCAAACCAGGCACTCCCCATCATCCCCTGCTCGGCTGGCCCTGCCTGGAGAGACATGAGATATCATAAATAAGAGGGAAGGGCCCTGCCAGCAGAAAAGAGCCATCAGCTACTAAATGCCTTATTGCAAGGGGGCTCCGGGTGCAAGAGAGACCAGGATTGTACTCAGCTCTCCTGGGACCCAAGGCAAAATAGCCCTCCTTGCTGCAAAGGAGCCACGGCTCAGGTAATACAGCCAAGAGGCCAGGAGACATTTTCAAAAGCTGCCAGCTCATTTGCTGAATCTCACTTGGCGAGATGGATGGCTATATAAAGTGGATAAATAGATGTGAAAATAAGCGCTCCTGTAAGAACCTTGTACACCAGCATATTAAGTCCATGGTTTTTTTTCCTTTTTTTTTTTTTTTGGCTGAATGCAGGAACACTCAGATTTTCCAGACTATAATCTGCAGGATTAAACTCCAGAGAGGCTGTTTTATAGAGTCCCAGGCGTGTCCAGAAGGCTGAAGTGCCAGCATTGGTCACCAACATAGGCCCCGTCTTGCGTCTGACTAATCTGCTGGGTGGGCTTTTGGAGTGGAGGGTCTTCCAAGGGCAGCCAATGGATTTTCTACGCTGCTCCCAACCTTCTAACATCCAGGAAGCAATCGGTCCTGCCAGAACATCCCTAATTTCAGTCGGCTGAAGGACCGAGGAGAAGAGGAAGTGAAAGCTGGACAAGATGGAGGAGTAAAGTGGGCTCAGGGACCGAGGCAGAGCCTGTTTCGGGAGGATTTTACTCCACAAGAGGAGGAAATGCTTTGTGACTCTCAGCTGAGGGGTTTTTTTGGCGGGGCGGGGGTGGGTGGGAGGAACACAGCAGGCCTTCACAACCAGCCTGAGGAGGCTGAGCTGGCTTTCTATAGCTTGGTTCCCGTCTCACAGCAAAGGGGAAGATGGCGAACATGCCACCTGTTCACTCTCCATTCTTTTCCTGGCTGGCTTCAGTTTTATTCTGCTCTTTCCTCTCCTGCACTCATTTTTGCTAACCTGCCTTGGGAGAGGAGGTATCATTTCTGAAAATAAGCTTCCCCCCCACACACACACACCCCGTCCTGCCTTTCAGCCAGTCTCCAGTTCCAGCTGGCGGCCAACTGCGAAGGCAGATTCAACGCCCAGGGCTACTTCATGCTCAGCATCTCACCTGGTGGGACTCACAACGAGTTTACCTTGTACCTGAAGTTGTCCGTTGGCACGAAATCTACCAGCATGAGATACTTGGCGTAGGGGATCAAGCCAGTGACTTTGATCTTGAATTGTGGAAACATTCGTCTGTGGAAAAGGAAAGGATTGCTTCAAAGATCCTAAAATGGTCCCTCTGGGAGGATTTGAGCAGCGGCTGCTGTCCTGCTGTCCTGCCTTTGACGGCGTTCGTTGTCTTTGATGGGTTTCCAGTTGTTTTTTTTCCTGTGCCATCTTTCCCCGTCCCAGAAAAGGCCACGATGGCTCTTGGCTGACTAGACCAGTGGTAGCCCGGGCAGCTTTGGCCGCCTGCAGAGGCTCCTATTTGCTCGGACATCCTAATGGGGGGGGGAGGCTTGGCATTTATTCCTAAATAAGGTTCTGGGCCTCAAAACATATAGAGTGATGCCCTCTGGGAGTTGCCAGCAGGACCCTCTCAAGGCCCGCTTCCCATGGTCTCGGAGGGCGCCAAGAAGCCCCAGGGAGCGTTGTGGTGACACCAGGTTGGATCCCTGAGAGTTCACTTGTGGCACCTCAGGAGAGATGGCGTGAATCCTAACTCCAGGAGGAGGAAAAGGAAGCAGGCAGGCGAGTCTTTACTGAATTGTCCACTTGTGGCACTCGGGAGAAACTTTCTCAGGGTAAAAACTTGTATGACTGATATTAAATACGTTTCACATCTAGAATCTTTTTTTTTATGGGATAGAAATTTCCTCTCATTTTTTACACAGTGCCAAGTTTGGGGAGGTTGGTCAGCCAAGATACCTACACGAACAGCCGTGCATGCCTACAGAAGAATAAAGAATCATTTGGAAATCAGGGCTGGGGGATGGCAAATGCCAGGCAAAGAAATTTCCAGGAATGTTGGCCAGCCACGTTCAGATAACTAAGGGTTAGCGGGGAAAAGCTGAGCTGCTGCGCTCAACTCTCTCCCCAAAGAACACAAGATTTTAAAAGGCTTTGCTCACCGCCCAGTTTTGGTAATAATCATCTCTGTCCCTGCATGGTGAAACTTGGCCCAAAGATCTGGCTCTTCAAGAGTGACGGCCACGGAGCTGTGAGGAGGAGTGGAGGAGGCCTCCAGTGGGGCAGGTTGAGCCCAGAAGCCTTGAAAAACAGAAGGAGAAAAATCCCAGTGATGGTGAGGCAGCCCCTCCCTCCCTCCCTCCCTCCGCAAAACGGCCTTCAGCCCCCAGCCTCCCTGCCATCTTCACTCCCTAACATGTCCGTCTCTGAACCTTGGCCACTTGAAGGCGTGTGGGCTTCAACTCCCAGAATCCCCAGCCAGCATGGGAATTGAAGTCCATAACATCTTCAACTTTGCCAAGGCTGAGAAACGCTGCGGTGGAATAACCCGCATCCCCAACTGGGGAATGTCGTTGGGATAGGAATGATGTTTCCCCGACATTCCTGTTTTAATGTATACTCCAAATGTTGGTTGTTTTTTTTAAAAAAAACACTATTTCTGAAAATTAAAGATGTATGAAATTAAAAGATGTATGAACCTGAGGTTAGAAAGGATTAAAAATAAGAAGAAGAATTGGACAGAATTAGCAGAAGAATGTAGCAGAAACTTCAGAATTTCCCGAAATATGATTGCTTTGCAAAACAAAACCAAACAAAACAATTTCTAAGTAGCCTAGATTTGAAATGGATGGATTTTCTCTTCCCAGCTCCACTTCCTCTGAGAAAAGATGGGGGTGGGGGTGGACTGCCTACCCCCCCGCTTCTTCCAGCTAAGGAGACCCCGTTCTCCCCTGGCTCTCCCTGGCAGGGCAATTGGCTGGAGAGGCTGGAGAGCATTGCCCCCCTCCCGTCACCTGTGCCAGGTCCGCTCCCGAAGCAGCCTGTGAAGCCGCATGGAGCAGCTGGCATGGACCCCGTGTTTGGATGGGGGCTGGGAGGGGGCTGGGAAGGTGAGCAAGCAGCACTTGCTGGACCAGATCAGGGCAGCTTCCCCCTTCCTCTCTGGACGTTTCTATCCCTGCCCAGAGATGCTGCCAGGTCCAGGGGCAGCTCCAGGCGGCTAGAGCCCTGGACCACGCCGCACTCGGCCCCCCTCCCCCGCAAAGCTTGCCAGGTCTTCTTCCACAAGGTGGGGGGGGGCTGCTCCAACTCCAGCATGTCCAGCCACTGCAGAGCCATCCCGCCTGCCTTAAGTGCCTTAACTGTGTAGAGACAGGCAAGGGGGGATGCCTGGCGTAGAGATTGGATAGAAGAAGCCAACAAGTCATAAGGGGCCAGTTCTGGGAATGGCATCCAATCGAAGGAGACTCTGAGAGGCCACGAGACGGAAGGCAACTGAGGGAGACGCCTGGGCTTTCAAGAGGAGCCCGAGTGGGCATTCAAGGGGCACCGAAGGCAGAGCAGGGTGGCGGCAAGAGGCTCAGCGGGGCTGGTATTGGGGTGGGAAAGGGCAGGAGGTGGAACAAATCGCTGGAGGCTCGTTGGCCTTAGAACTAAGGGAGGGGGGGAAGGGGGGGCTGTATCAAGGGGCTCACACACCCAGATCACTGTAGCCCAGAGGAGGGAGAGGTCTCCCCCCAATACAAGGCACCCCTGGAACCCTGGAGACCCCCCCCCCAAAGGAAGCCCCCCCCCCCCCCCGCTTCTGCCCCAGGGCCCCAGGGCCAGTTACCTCTCTCCTCCCCGGGTGATTCGACCATGCCGGTCAGAGGTGGGTCTTCGGCCGGTTCGGACCATTGCTGGCAGAGCCGCCAGCCGAAGTTTTGAGTAGTTCGGAGAAACGGCCAAGAACACCCCCACCCCCCACTGGAGACTTTACGCCACGCTCACCGAGCCGGTAGTAAACAAACCGACTCCCCCCCCCCCCCCCCCCCCCCCCGCCCCGCCACCCCCCCCCCCCGCCCCCATATGACATCGCAGACAAGCAGCGTCCTTGGCATCCTTTGGCCCGCCGGATTCCCAGAGGCGACTCCGAAGGTCCCCCCCGCAGCTGCCCAGGATTCCTCACCCCGCCCGGCCAGCCGCCAGCCAGGACCCCCTGCGCCCGGGAGGGGGGAGTGAGGCCGCAGGGTCAGAGCCCGCCCCGTCCCGCCACCCCCCCCGCGCCTTGGGGCAGTCCGAGCGGAGAAAGAAGCGGCCCTACCCGATCCCGCCTGCATCTTGGCCAAGCGGGGACGGTCCGGCGCCCGGAAAGGCCCCCACGGAGACGCGGAGGCGGCCCCTCTCCTCTCGCAGCTCCGCCGGACGCCGAAGCCCCCGGCCTTATGTAGGCGGGGGCGGGGGCGGGGCGGACCCCACGGGAGCTCCCGGTCGGGACCCCAAAGGGCGGAGGGCCGCGGTGGGGGGGGAGAGCGCGCGCAAGCAGGGAGGCCGCCGGCCGACTGAGGCGCCGGGCAGAGTCCCGGGCCGCGCAAGCAGAGCCAAAGGGCGCCTCCCGGCGAGCCGCCCCCCTCGGACTAAGCGCCGGATCCGAGGGCGGCGGCAGCAGCAGCAGCCGCGCGCCCGGAGGTGCTGCCCGTCTCGGGGCTGGAGACTCCGGCCGGGCGCAGCGTCGGGGGCTTCTTGCTTTGCGGGCGGCCTCGGCCTCCCCGAAGGCCACGGGAAAGGAGGAGCCGGTGGCTCGCCCCGCCGGGGCCCGCGGAGGGGAAAAAAGGCTCCGCTCTCCCGGCCCCTCGTGGCTCTCCCGGCCGAGGAAGGCGCCGCTCCGCCGCCAGCCGAGTCTTCTTCGCTCGGCGCCGTTTTGGCGGCCTCCCCCGGCTTAGCCTTCGGGGCTCGCGGACGGCTCGGCGCAAAGCCGGCGGCAGCGCAGGGACCGCAGCGGATTCCGCGGCTCCCGGCGGCTTCGAGGCCCTTTCCCGGGAGAGAGGCGGCCGCCGCCGCCGGCGAGGGTCCCGGGCCGCGCACTGGAGAAGCGCGGGGGGGCCTCAGGCCGGACGTGGCCAGCCGGGACTTGAGCGCGGCTGGGTGGGTCTCGGCGGGGCAAAGCGGCGCCGGCGGAGAAAGCTCTGGAGCCGGCGGGAGACGCGGCTGCGACGCTACCTCCGACCTGGGAGGCCAAGGGGCGGCCTGCCGTCCGGGCCCCTCAAGCCAGCTCTTCCCGCCGCGAGTGAGGTACTAACCCCACGCTCTAAAGCAGGGCTGTCCAACCTTGGCAACTTTAAGACTTGTGGACTTCAACTCCCAGAATTCCTCAGCCAGC